GGTGGAGTCCCCAGCCCAGAGGTGTTCAAAAAACATGTAGCTGTGGCACTTCAGGACACGGTTTAGCAGGCATGGTGGTGTTGAGGTGACAGTTGGACTTGATGGTCTGAGAGGTCTTTTCCAACCTATGATTCTATGATAATTTGCTTTGGGACTGCAGTTCCATGGAGCACGCACTGCTAAGAAACACAGTTTCACTGTTAAACTTTGAGCTCCAACATGGTGTGCAAGGGAAGGAATACTTCTTACTCTTAAATGCCACAGTCAAACATTTAGATACTGTCCCAAGGAGAATCCAGGAAAGCCCTAAAGGCACACAGTTGTGGTAAACTCTTGACTGGTGCAGGAGTCCTAAAAACTAAAAGGACCCTACTAGCCGGCAGTACCACTGGGCTCTGGTTAGCCCTTCACTTCTGACTGGTCTTGACGTACAATGTAAATGCCACAAATTGTAAGACAGGTTTCTCTCAGTAGTCTGCCTCTGTACAGGGTAGAGATCTTTTGTTTTTACTGCCATCGTTCCTCAGCATTCTCTTCAAAATTCTCATTTCAGGCAGAAAAGCTCTACAAAGCAAGCATGAGCTATTTGCTTGCAGGGGACACGAAGGAGGTATGTTCTTCTGATAAATGCTTCAGGGGGAAGTCTTAACAATTCTTTGGTCTGTTTCTTGTGCTGTAATACCTCCTACTGGAAACTGGCAATACTAGCTGTGAGCTTGCCAGCTTCTCAAGAACTTCTCTTAGGGGATGGCAGCTCTGGAGACAACAGGATGGGGATTTTGAAGGTCTAAACTTGTTCTCTGGCAAAGTAATGCTTCTACTGGGAAGATACAAGAAGAGTAACAGTTGTGTTGTGTGTGTCCTTCTGGCAGGATGACAATGCAATCCTTGAGATGTCCCTCAAGCTGGCCAGTATCTATGCTGCTCAGAAACAGTAAGTTCCCTACTAAAGGTATCTTGAGCTTAGGACAGAAGTAGCCATAGAGGATGTTGCTCTTTAGTCTTAAATCCACACCTCACAGGAGAGGCAGCTTTTGAAGCAGTTGGTGGCTGGTAACTTGTAGCTTCATTTTCCAACGGAGTATTGGCATGGGTTGGCTTAGCTGGCCTTGTTTGGAGAGAGGGCGCCCAGGCTGTGATCAAGAAGAGAGCACTGAGGGCAAGAAGGGTCTGGTGAAGGGGAAAAGTTGTCTTACAGGCCCTTTAGACTGAGGGCTTGCAGGTGTCCACATCCAGCCCTTCAGGGATGGAAGGAGCCTTGCTTTGCTGAGCTGTACTTTACAGGCACAAGTTAGCTGTGGCTGGCTACCAGTTCTGCATCCTGACCTTAGAGGAGAAAATTGCCAAACAAAAGGACTTGCCTGAGGACGTCTTACCAGGTGGGAGTGCCTTGTCTGCCAAAGGCTTCTCTCATTATCTTTTTCCCCATTTCCTTGTACTTGATGTTGCTTTCCATATTGCCTAAGCACCATCTTTGTGTCAATTCATTGTCTTTGCACTGCATGAGTTTCCTGCTGTTGTAGGATGGAGACTCATGCTTGATCATGTGAAGTGATCACTTCCCCTCCTCTCTATTTGCAGCTGAAGAAAAGGCCAACACGCATCTCTTGCTTGGGATGAGCCTAGACTCCTATGCTCGCTATCTGCTAAACATTAACCAGCTCCCAGTGGCCCAAAAAATGTATGAGAAGGCTCTGCAGATATCAAATGATGTTCAAGGAGAGACTCTGCCACAGGTGACGTGTAAAATGGTAGTTGGACTACTAGGGAAAGAAAGGCTGATCTCCTAGGGAATGAGGCAGCCTTAAAAGCAACCTTGCTGGCATCAGATGTACACAGCACTAAATTAGCTTCTGTTTTCCTGCCAGGAAGAATGAGCATGCAGCATGCTGATATATAAATATGAGACACTTTCTTACTGAAAGGTTCTCTGGGATATATGACTTTTATTAGTGTGACGGGGTAGGAATGTTGTGCTCCTGCTGCCCCAGACTTCTACACAAGTCTTGCTCTGAGGCTTCCTTTTCTGTCCTGGTGCAGACTGTGGTGCTGATGAATGACTTGGCAACTGTACTGGATGCTCAGGGGCACTACGATGAGGCATACTCCTATGTGAAGAGGGCAGCTGAGCTGGCAAAGGAGACTGAACACCCTGAGGAGCACATGGTGCTGAATAACCTGGCAGCAATTCTGATGCACAAAGGTAAGTACATAAATGTCCAGCCTGCGTCACTGCGCTTGTGCTGACTGCAGAAACCTGTACTGTAGGATTGAACTACAGTGTTATTTTTGTGCTACTATTTTTAAGCAGTAGGTCTGCTGACTTGGTGTAGGCAACTTGTATTGCATTCAAACTGAATTCAGCAGCTAAGGATCCTGTCCAAGATGCAGTACTGGTGCATCGGACTCAAAAGGGTGCCAGGGAATCTAGTTTCTCTTGTCCTGTGTTATAGTGATTGGTTCCAAAAGGACATAAGACATGCTTCAGACTTGTTTCAATGAGGCCTTACTGATGAAGCAGCATCTTGTCCTGTCATCACTGCTGCTAGCTCTTGTAGTTGGCACCCTATGCTGAATGTTTTCTGAACCTCCCTAGTTCTTCTAGTGTTCCAAGTAGTCTTATGCACGTCCTTTGCCTGTGCTTAGCTTCAGGAGGGGACTCTGAAAATGGGCGATGTAGTTGGCTAGCCATGCCACTTTTTCCTCTTGCTACAGAAGACTTTCTGCAAGCAAAACAAGTGTACAAAGAAGCTCTCAAACAGGCACAACAGAAAGGAGATGTTGCTTCTGTCCAGCATATCCAGGAAGAACTAGCTGAGCTGGCCAAGAGGAGAAAAGGCTCCAAATAAGTTTGGCCACAGAGTCCAACCTTGAGGTGGCTGACAGCAGCAAGGGTTGGTCCGTGACAGCAGCCTGGGACCAGTCTGGTGCAATTCTGGAGCAGCAAGGAGGAGTTTAAGGACTGCTTAACAAGAAGGGCTGGTATTGCCTAACAACTTAGCCCAAAATAAAGTTGTGAAATCTTAACTATATAAATTTGTGATGTAGTCGATGGTTAATGACCTACTGTGCTAGTGATTTAACTTCTGTCTTGACTGCCAGCAAAGCGCAAGTCTAGCCTGGAATGAATACTTGCAGTTAAGTCAAGGAGTGTATTTGTGTCAGCGCTACAGTTCAGTGTGTATTAACTTCAACAGAGCATTTCCCAGACCGTACCCGTACTATGACAGAGCTGTAGCTCCATGTCCTTTTCCAATACATTGCCTGAAGATCAAGTGTTTTTCTTCAAAGCATTTAGCATCCAGAGACAGAACATGCACTCTCAGAGGAGGGGGGAGACTGTTACCGAAACAGAGCTGTTGGCAGAAATAAACCACTTGGCTACCTTACCCCAGTCAAGAGCACGCTGAGTGCCAAAGCTGTCCTCCTTTCTTGGACAGGTCAGTGCTAGAATGCTGAGGCTTCCTGTTGGAAAAGATGGTATGTACAAACTGTCAGGTTTGTAAGATACATGCCTTCATGTGAATCTAGTATGGACAGCCTGCTCATACAACAGAATTTTTCAGGTCTGCCCTCCAGGAAAGCCTAATGCTAAAGACAAATGCAAATTAAACCAGAGGTAATCAAATCCATATTTAGCTAGGATAATAGAACTAACTAATTCTATCACTAACCAAGTATTATTTTAACCTCTCATTTGTAAGAACTTCAGCTGGTTGCTATAAGCCTTAATGTTAATTGCATCACTATTAGTTTACTTACAGCAGCATTCAGTGGCTTCAGCTCTGCTTAACTTTGAGCTAAGAAGAGGCACAGAGGTTTTCTACAGTAGATGTCCATTGAAGCTGGAAAAACTTAAGTTGCATATACAGCTTTGTTTTCAGCAAGCTAGGAATTCAAAATGTGGCTGTTAGTTACAGGCATGCTTGTACTAACATAAAGTCTCTTAACGCATCAGAACCAGTCGTCTTCAGAGTTCTAGTTTTTGATTTCTCAGGGGCAGACCTTAGACACTCCAGCAGTGGTAACGGGGAACCCTGCAGCACCCCCTCAGGGAAGTGTTTTGATGCTGCAAAGAGAGGGAGACACAGGAAAAGCAAATGGAGAACTGATCCCCTTTATTGATTGGTCTGAATCCAGAAGTCACTGTCTACTGAAGACATTGTGTGGAAAAAAGTTGAGTTTTATGATGCATGGGTTTTTCAAGTCTTAAATGATTTCATATCAGAATCACAAAACATATCAAGATGAAAGCATTGTGAAAACACTGATCAGAAATCAGTTAAAAATTTGTAGTAAACTACACTTTGTAAACATGATTTACAAACACCTTCCTGTTTGAAACAGGTCAGATGTAATTCCATACTTGAAGATTACTGGAATTGTGGTAAACCCTAACTTAGGCTCTGGAGAGGTGTGTTTTTGTTTGGTTTTTTTTTTTTTTACACTGGAGAAGTTAGAACTCTGATAACAAACAAAAAAAGCAGCAACAGTTTATGTGCAAATGCCACTTGAGCTGTATCTTAGGAGAAAGTGACTATCCTACTTTGGATATCTTGCTGCAGCAGCAGCAACATGAAGCTTTGCAATGAACATGCTACACTTACTGTACAGTTAGCAAAAACATTTGTCTGTACATGCCTCTTTCACCTTGTATTTGTTACACTAAGAAAGTGAGAACAAGTAAGTGTTAGAATGGAACTTAACTCTCCACTCCAAATTTAAATCTACAAAAAGGGCAGATCAACTTGTTTTCCAGTATATCTTGCTGTGGGAACAAAAAAGTTAAAATAAGAGCGCAGGTCTACAACCAGGATAAAAAATTCACTACCTTAAGCCAGAAGGGTAAAGGATGGAAGGGTGAGAAAAATCTTTCTTAGAGACTGCAAGAAGATTTAAGACTGCTAACTGATCTACTTTGATGCAGCAGTGTTTAAAAAAAGTAGCAAAATAATTCTGTTTTGCAACACAGTGTCAAGTTTCCAAATGAGTTCCTTTGGATTTTTTTTTTTCTTTCCCACACTTGGGGTAAAAAGGCTTTCCTCTTAAGTACTTAAAGTAAATTTGCTATCGATAAATAGTTCTGTACTTCTTCCTGTTTGTAACTGGACCATTACAGTCCTTCTATACGATGTAGAGCTTACATGGCTTAAGGTTACACAGCTACATTATACCTTCCATACAACCCATCACAAATACAGTGTTAAATTAAAAATGTTTTGACTGGAAAATAACTTCAAGACAAAGGCTGTTCATCAATGAGATGCAAAAGCAGTTTGGAATCTGACAGACCATGCTATCTGTAAATCAGTCCTCCTACTCCGGAAGATTTAAATTCACTTCCTGAGGTCAGTGCAGCAAAAAATAAGATGCTCTTGAGGATGGATGTCAGGACAACCTCTGATATCACTAATCAGATGTATCTAAGTATACATAAGCTACAAGCATATCATAACAGGCATTGATAGATGAATGATTAAGGAGGCTCTCATAGTACCACATACAATTAAAAAAAAAAAAAAAAAAATCACCCTAACAAGTATTGCACACTTTAGGAGTTAAGCCAAGCATTTGTAAGGACTTCCACCAAAAGCTTGGTTATAGGGCTAGGGATTGGGATGCAGACTTTAAAATAATTGTTACATAAAGATTTTCAAATCAGACTGGAGGAAGGTAAAAATCACAGTACCTATTTCAAACTGGTTGTAACAGAAGCCAAGTAGCTGACTCGTGTTGCTCAGTTATTCTGTAAAAGCATTTTGTTTTATTTAAACTTGGGGTGTAGAGGTTTTTCTTCTTAAAGGATTTATCAACCCACCCAGAGCCTCTGTTCAGATAAGCCATTTGCTGTGGTTAAATATGACAGTAAAATTTAGTAGCCTGTTTTGACTGCATACAATGCAGAAACAGAAAACACTAAGATAGGTTTTTGGGGCACAGTTAAAATTCCCAGTGTGCATAACAGTGAGGTATGCCTCCAGAAGCTGGTCTTTTTGTTTTTTTTTCATCCTTTTAAAAATGAACCATAACATACCCATGCAATAATATTTCTGCAGTGTTGCTAAATAAAACCAACTGCACCAAAAATTTACAATGTGGCAGAATTTAAAATTCAAAGAAATATATCATCTTATTCCAGCGAACCGGACTATGTTAATGTACAGAATTCATTAAGGGGTCAGTCTTAAAAATCAACATTTTCACAAGAGCTTTAACACCACTGAGAAAGTGTGTCTAGGGAAAAAAAAAAATTATATAAAAGCACAATGCCTGCAAGAGGTGACACGGCATTAAATGGGCAATGATGCTAGGCTGGTAGGGAGGCTAGGGTTATGGTTAGGCTAGGCTGGTAGGGAGGCTAGGCTGGTAGGGAGGCTAGGGTTATGAAGAGTACTCTACACTGGAGAAAATGCTTAAAAAAAAATTACAAAATGACCCCCAAGGTTTATGCAATGATTTGAACATAAGTACACCAGATACTATAGCAAGGGAAAAAACACTGCAAAAAGTACTCTCTATTTACAGAAGAATGATTTAAAGACATTATGGTTTTCTTTACAAATAGATGTAGAACAGGAATAGTCCACATTTTTAAAAACTCTTTACATATTTATCTTTAGTAAGTCAACCTTCTTGATCATGATCCTCCAACACATGGCCTGTGCAGAAGACATTTAAAGGACTTTCCATCAATTCTTCATTATGTGGCCCTTGCTCTCTTGGAAAGTCTCTATGGGCACAAGTCAAAAATAGATTTCTTTTTGACCCGCAAATTAAAAAAACAAAAAAAATCTGCATAGTTCAGTCATCACTGTCAGACAGAGTCTCATATTGTGCTGAAAGCAGTGGTGCAGGCTCTCGCTCCCATATCCTGTTCTGTTGGTGAGTGGTTGCTTGGCTCATGGACGGTGGGGCACACGCAATGGATGTCGGCGGTGTACTGCTGAGCATCCTCATCGTCAACGGGTTGTAAGGAAACTGTGTCGAACCTGAATCAAAGAGAGTTTCTCCAAGTCAAAACCATGAGCTGTTCTAAGAGCGCTGTATCTGAAAGATACGGTTTTGGTTGTGACAACTAGCAGAAAATCTGTTTCAGAAAATTCTTATAAGCTGTAATCTTTGACCAATATACCAGAGTTATAGTACGTCTACATCCAACCTTTGTACAAATATCACACCTGGACTAGATGACCCACAGAGGTCCCTTCCAACCCCTACCATTCTGTGATTTTGTGAAACACTTCTCACCTGTTGATGAAGGCCTATCTTCCCAGGCCCACACGGGAGTCTGTCTGTGGTAGTCCCCTTCTGAATGTACTGATGAGACAGAGGAAGGTCTTTCGGTTCCCAAATATCCCTGTCCAGGAATCGGAGACTTAGACTTCCTATTATTTGACTTGCCGATTAGCTTCTGCTTGCCAACTCCCCCTCCTGGAAACAGCAGGGACAGATTTTAACAAAAATGTTACACTATATTTTAGCCTGTTTCTAGAAAATATCACTTAGGAGCAAACAGCAGTTTCACGCTGGTGCCTTCTGGCACGCTGATTTACTATAACCAGTGACCATATAGGTTAGTCTTCTATCAGACTACTGCTAGAAAATCTCTATTCTTAACACAATGGAGTTCAATTTCCATTTTTGGGAAGGGAGATGTTTTCAGTTCAAGCTAGTTCCCACTGTCACATGTTCTTTATAGGTAATGTACTAACATGCATTTTCATCACACCACTGAGAAGCTTCAGGTATCTAATACACGCTGTTCTCTCTTCCCTGTTTCACCCGTGTTGTCATTCGCCAAGAAATACTGGCTAATGCTCCTGAAGCACCGTTCTGAAAGCCAGGACCACCTGAGGGAACGGAAACACCATCTCTATGACTTCCAGAGGAAAGACAGTGATTTTCAGTGACACCAAATTTATTCAAACCCGTAATTTATTTTTTTTCTTTACGACCATGAAATATTTAGGAGCTGCAATACCTCACCTGAATTTGGTGATGGATTAGCTTCTTCTCTACGTGTCTCATTACTTGCTGATACTGCAGAACTGGAACCGCCAGGTGCTACCGCAATGGATTGTGACATTACAACTCCGTGTTCCTCACTCTTGTCATCAAAGTTTCCCATCAATGCTTTCCTAATAATGTCTTCCAGACCCAGATTACTGGCAGGATCTGCAAAGGAATGACCCCTAGAACTGACTGCACCTGGGAGATAAAAGAAAACATACAGGGAAAGGTGGGAGGGGAGGCAAAAAACATCTCTCAGAGAAATTACAAAGGGATACGGGAAAGATTTTAGAGAGAGGTAGAAAGGTGGAAATAAAAAAACCCAAAGGGAGATTTTTTAAAATGCAAAGCTACATGCTCCAAAGCAGCTCACAATGGCCAAAAGTTAGACATGCCAGCAGACACTAAAGAGCTACGTCATCAGTGCCACTAAACATCAGACTGTTTGCAAGAGGGTAAATTTTACTTTTTTCTTTTTTTAATAGCAAAGGAAGCCGAGCATGCTGATTGCGATAGCATATTAAGTAAAATCTGCAGCTATTATTCAGCTGTAAGAGAAGAGACCAGAAGAATACTTCTCTCATTAATGATCCATACTAATTTGTCTTATGAAGTGTGATACATAGCAAATGTTTATTCCAAAAAGCTTGTCTTCCATCTAAATTAATGGAGATCAGTACTTTCTCCATATAACAGACAGAAGCACTGTACCAGAAGGGGGCGCAACTGGCCAAAATCATGTAAAGTCAATCCGTGGTACAACTCAAGATTCAGATTTGACAGTTCTCATTTCCCACATTTCAGTTCACTTCTCTGCCACACTTGCCTCTTTTAACAAAGTAAAATTATGGGCTATGTTTAATTTCCCTGTCTCACAGGAAGTTGTGGGGGTTTATTGTTTATTTATCATAGAAAAAAATTATCAGTATTTTAAATGCACCAGTTTATAAAGTAAACTACATTTGATGAACTAATAAGCTCAAGTTTTGTTGAACTACACTGTATTTAAATTTGAGTGAGATGCTAACCAATTTCATGGCTTCTACCTCTGTGTAGGATTTGCAGAACACATAAATTGCCTAATTTCCCTTTTTAAATATTTTCTGAACCTTCCTTTGGTCATTTTGCTTTTCCCTAAGATATAGGAAACAAATTTTCATGTAGGATATTATTTTTTAAATTTTCATAGTCTTCCTCATTTACTGGACTCCCCAAAGCATACAAATGAAAGATATTACATTAGTTTACTTTTTCTGAAACATATTGTTTCTTGTACTGAAAATCTTACCTGAGGTAGTGACTGCTGGCAAATTGAATATTTCAGTCCCTGGCTGAGCAGTTGCTGCAATTAAAGCACAACATTTCATTGAGTTTTCTAGTACTGATGATCACTACAAGTGATCACCGCTAGTCCTAATGCACAAGGTACAATTCATTTGAACTATTTTCAGTGTTCTGTTTTTTCTTTCTCAGTCTCCTGAGATGAATGTGCATTTATGTCTTCTCAGGAAAATGTTCTATACCAGGATAAAACTATCTTATATGGTCAACGCTAGTCTTCTTTTAAAGATGTTACTTCAGGAAGCAGAATGACTTTTGCATTTGATTCACTAAATACATATTTTAACATATGAACCTTACAGGCTGAGTATTTGTATGTATTAAAAAAAATAAATGACGACAACAACTTTGGAGCGGCTGAACACTCCCCCCAACCCTGCATATATTACCTGCATTATGTCCAATTTGAGAATAAAGATTTTCAACAATAACAACAGTAACACTGAACTCGATATATAAATGAAAAGATTATTGGCAGCAATGGAAAGCGTGTCTGTATGCCAAGCATGCACATAAAATTTTCCACAGAGCAAAATCTACTGTGCATACAATGGAGAGCAAATAACAAGAATACTGCAACCCTTACTGACAAAGCCTTGTTTCTCAGAAAGAGATGAATTTGTTGCTCAGTGCAAGAGCATTCACTTGCAAATAAACACTTTCTATTAGGTACTGAGTTCAAACAGCTTAAACTCTTACTACTGATAATTTTGATACAAAGTTCTGTTAAAGTTTCTAGGAGAAAACCAAAAATAGAGTTCTAGTATCATATTCCACCATGTCATTATCCATTACTGAAACGATATTAAAATACATCTTTTTAACAGCCATAATCATAACGACCAAGAAAACACAAACCATCCAGTTTGTAAGGCATCATTCCAAAAACGAAAACATGTAATAGTTAATGTTGCTATGAAGCAAAGTACAGACACAAAGTTAACTAGAATGTCAGGTTTCAACAACTCATTAGTTATGCGGTTTTTCTCTAGTTTTCAGAAACCATTTCCATCTGTCAAACATTAAAAAGCTTAAATGACGGTGCTACATAGAACAGCATTAAAAATAATAAATATCTATCAATATTCCACTTCTTTGGTCATAAATTATTATATATGTTTTTATGTTCACAGATTTATATTCATTCCTATGTTATTTGAAACATATTTAGATTAGCACATCTGTGGATGGCAGTCACATAAAGCTTAAGCTGTAAATATTCAGTGAAAAAGCAAGTCCTGCATACCCATATCAGTGTCACCGCCACCAGACGAGTTCAGCTTTCGAAATATCTCCTGTTTCTTGGATTTTACCATTGGTGAAGTGTTCTCAAGTTTGGTGAAAAACGAAGGCAGGTAGCTTATACTACCTGGAGAGCGAGAGTCAGTCCTGCCAAGACCAACATGTGTCAAAGAGAGAGACCATTTTTCAAGACGTACATTCAAATCTTTCCAAAAGCAGTCAGGTAGAAACTGCCAACATTTGTACGAGCTTTAGGACTCTCCTCAGCCTGTTTTTTGCGAACAAGTCTACTGATTCTCCGAAAACATGTGCTTTATCCAGGTAACAGGGTTTAAGATTGTACAGCTCACAGAAAAAGTGACCATGTCATTGTCTGTGCTGGAGAGTGGTACAGAGCTGGCACACTTACAAATTATCTCAGGGGTGCCTACTTCTGCCTTGCAAACTGCATGCTGGCTGAAGTTCACACTGCAAATCGGTAGGTGATGAAATGTTTAAGCTGGAAGGCCAAATACTCATCCTAGCTGCTCCTCCTATTTACAACGTTCCTCCCACTCTTGTCCCCAGTATGCCACTAAAAAGGATGTATTTCTTTTGAAGTCTGCTCACCCACCCCACTGCACATGGTCCAAGCAAATACGCTATTTCTGGCATTTGTAGAAACCTTATGGACCGGAGTCTGGCTCAAGAGCTGAAGTTAGCCATCCTTGCTCTATAGCACAAAATCAGACCGGGATCCATGTTCTGCATTTCATACCCCTTATCAATTTTACATTCACAGTAGCTGGCACACTTTCTGCACATAACTTCTGTCATGTTAGCATAAAAAATTTGCTGAAGTAAATGTCAAACTGACAAGAGGTGCATTTTATCTTCAGATCTTAAAATATGCAAATTTTAGGCTATTTACAAAGATGATAAAAGCAGTAGTACTCTAGTTACAGAGTTCTAAGAAAAAAACAACCCCAAAACAACTAAAGCATGAAGAAATTCAGGTGGAAAAATCTAAGCCAACACCAGGATCATGAACAACTTGCCCTGTTTTCAAAAGTGGATAAAAATGACCAACTGTATGTTCACTGTGGCACTTCGAATACTTTAATATTAATATTTTAATACTTAGTTTGTTTAAGCAGCAGCAATGTGGCAAGTCAGTTTTAATTAAAAAAAACAAACAAACCCATCCCATATTCAAATTTAAAAAAATAATTTTAAAACAAAGTAAAAAAGACAAAGACTCTAGCTTTCCTAGGCCAAGATCCTTAAAATTCTAAAAAGTGCAGTCTTTCCTGCCATGATCCTGAAAATCCCTTTGCGACTAGCTAACCTCCATCATGGACTGCAACAACCCTGCCAGCAACTGCAGAGTGGAGGGGAAAAGTAACAAGAAAAAAAGAATCAACTTCACCAGCATGAGCCTTAAATAAGTATGTGGTGAGCATGTTGGGTGCTATTCCTTCTTCAGCAGGCAGCAAAGCAAATGACAGAAACACCCATTCCCGCATGCATCTGCCAGATGTCCAAAGACACCAGCAGAGATACAGTCTGCCAGGGATCCCACGTAGTTCAATGTTGCAGATCTGGCAGACTGACAAATGGCCCTGGGACACAGGGCTGCCCAATGCACGGGCCTCCCGACACCCCACCTTCCCACCTCCTGGAAATCAAGCTCCTTAGCTTAGTGATCTTTCATATGAGAAGCTGTGCTAGAATCATGCATGTTGGAAGCCTGAGTTCCCCCACACCTCACTATGACAGTATCCAGGAAAGCAATCAGGCAAGAGAAGCCTGAATTATTTAATAAAAATTGTAGAAAATGGACCTTTTCCAAAAACCACTTCAGTTTCATAGAACTGGCACCCACAAGGAGTGTAGTTATAATGTTTTCTATCAGATATGACATAGGACACACTGCTTACACCAAGAAACTTAAGGCAGAACACATACAGATGAAGTTTCACTCAGGCTTCCCAAAGTCCCGAGTTTTGAATGCTAGTGCAAAAGGATCAACAGGGATCAACAACCTGCCTGTGGTACCAGAGGAAGATTGCTTAAACTGCTCTTTATTAAAGATACTGTTTGCAGCACGCAGATCAAGAATAATGTTTTTAAAATTCGGTTTTATACGTACCTCTGTTCAGTAGGCTCAGTTCTCTGGGAAAGCAAAAGAACGCTTTCCTGCTTCTCATGTACAACCGGGACCTGAGGTGGCGAGATTGGCTCATAGGGTTCTGAAGAGACATGACTCCTCTCTGGAGATTTTCCAGGTCTACATCCATAATTCAGAGACAGATAAGTACTCTTAATGTGTGTAATGCAGTAGTTAACACATGTAATTGTGTTCCAGCTGTTACATAACTACTTGGGGCTAGTTATATACGTTACATGCTTTAGTATGCTTGGCAACCTCAAAAAGCTGACTTTGATTTGTTCATAACAACCCTGATAAGGTCTATGTAATGAAACATCTTCACCCCTACAAAAACTAGAAATTAAGCACAAGAAGTGAAGGGAAAACAGTTATAAGCTTTGTTACGGAGCCAAGTTATTGTCAAAACTGCAAGACAGATCTTAAAGACCAAAAGATACCTCTCTACTTCTGATCTACATCGATTACTTTGCTATTTTTTATAAATATCATATTTGGGCATTAATTAGATTTGTAGTTTAACTGAATACAGGTATTACCTTCCCCTGGACTTGTCGGACAGATTTTCAGGTGACACTCTAGCACCTGGCCGCTGATGGTGGACAGACTGCGACTGCGACTCAGGGCTGTAGCGATTTGATGTCTTTGCCCGGGTAGAAACAGGTGTTGGAGCAGGGGTGGAATTCTGGAATGTAGTGGTGGGAGGCTGCAAAGGGGCCTGAGAAGCTGCTTGGTTTCTAGCAAAGTCTTGTGTAATAATTTGCTGATTGCGGCCAAAAAAACAGAAAAGAGATCATGGTCAGACACTGTCCAGAGCGTACGTACTCATGAACTAGATGAATATGAGACCAATTGCAACAAATGAGATGATTACAAGTTTAGACACATTATTGTAGTATAATAACTGCAAGTAAAACTAATAATTACAGAATTGGTATTACGTTCCAACACATGTGTTTTCGTCATCAGAATACAACTTTTCACATCTGAAAAGATGCATGCAAATAAACCTACACAGATATGATCTGCAAGGGTGATAAGCCGATGGGTCCTGGGCACATGTGCCATCCCTTCTGCTTGGGAAGAGGGAGGTGGAGGTTGTTGGGGTGAAGGGGGTTCCTGTTGTGTCCTATAGCGGTGAATCGGCCCTTCATACTGCCTGCTTGGGTCACCTAGTTGAAGAAAAGATCAGCCCGTTTTAAGATGGTATTGCTGAAGCTTCAAGGTTTGAAAGTCCTGTGCTTATAAATTTAAAATATGAGGTGTTTGTGCATTAGATTTTAGGTATCCTGTGTGATAACCATCTCTTCCCCCTCCATATATAGGCCCTACAACTTAGAAGGGATAAATAAACCTTCATTCCACAATGCAGGTGCTTTTCAGCTCATTTCTCACCTGCCAACTCTACTGTAATAGTCTGAGCTTTACTAGTAGGTAAAAAATTGTGGGCATCAACACTAATATGCAGTAATTTTAAAGAATATATTGAAAACAAATTTCTTATTGAATCAGCTCCGTTATGTAAAGGAGCTCTGTTTAATGCCACATGTCAGTTCCAATACATTTGCTGTATTATTTTCCAAAGATGAGAGTAACAATATACTTCCAACAAAAGCTTCTGAAAAGTTAAGAATTTGGTAAGCAGTCACTTAAAGACTCCTGAGATATTTGAACTTTACTATGAGTTCATGGAGCTGGTAAATGTAAGCAAGATAACTGTGAGAATATTGGCATACGCAGATGAACTTACTCTCTGCCTGGCTTGGTTTAGGTGTCTCTTGTTGATAGGGCTGTAGTTTTTCTTGAGTAGGTACAGGCGAATTTGCAGGGCTAATCACCTCAATGGCATCTCCAGGAGCTTCATACCGTTGGGAGGATACTGAGTATCAAGCAAAGGTTGTGCAATAAGGTATAAATATCACAGAATATTTTTGTTGCCTATACATAGCAATACCAGTGCTTCCAGTAAAATGACACCAGTGAAAGTCAAAACACTATCTTTTTCTCATGATAACCCCAGTGAAACAAATATTTCCATAAAGCAGTATTCCAATGTAAACAAAATAATTTTAGGTTTCCTGACTTCTGATAATGTTAGTTTTATTACCCTGCATTTCATGTTGTAGCATAGAATCCAAACAAAGCAATCAACTCCGATTTTGTGAGAATCTTGAGTCACTATATGCAAAAACTGTATTTGCTTGTGAAGTGTCTCTACTGTGCAGAGCTTTTTATCATTAAAAATCAGAATCATTTCACAGCTTATTATCTCCCTAAAAGGCTAAGACAGAGAGCAAAGAAGTAGATAGTTACTAAGATACGTACAACTACTGGAAGAATCTGAACTTTGAGAGCCCCTATCTCGTGCATCCTTGTCTGAAGCAATCTGTCGAGTGATGATCACATCTATGAAGTTAGCAGCAGTAATTGTGGTCTTTCCTCGTGTTCTCAGCTCTTCCTCGTACCTGGACTTAGGAGGAGGTCCTTTCTCTTTACCAGCCTCTGAATAGACTACTGATGAAGACTGTCCCTGGGACTTGCCACCAGAAAAATTTGCAGATGTATATGGGCACTGGACAGGCCTCTTTTCTACCTCCAGTGTCTTCTGTTCCATCTGCTGCTGTTCAGTAACCACAGCTGACCGCCGTCCCATATTCTCTTCTATCCTGGTTCCTTCGTGCTTGTTCTCTTTTGCTTTGGCAACTTCCATTTGAGGAGCAGAGGCTGCAGCATCTACTAGTGCTGCAAGGGCATCAGCAGCAGTATTGTAACGGGAAGCTGGCAACCCTTGAGTAATAGAGGGAGCTCCAGGAGTGAGCTGCCTGTTGGCAAACATTGAATATTCTGAATTATATCACGTGAAAAAAGACCTAGAGCCATACCATGTGTACAACAAAGCAAAATTTTTGAGATGCTAATTTCTATCCAAACTGGACTGGGTGAAAGTGCACTAGATCACCTCTGATAAATTCAAGAGCAATCAGATAATCGTTATCCTCATCTTGGAGTATTTTCCTCAGGCAAAATGCAATTTTTAATAAGCTCAAATATTAGAACAGATATCTCTGCAACAGTAACTTAAGAGACATACATGATACGTAGCTGGGCAGCAGGATCCAAAGGTGTGATTACACTTGTCCCATTGGTTCCTTGAAAAATACTAGGCCTTTGCTGCAGTATGTTTTCCTGGGTTCTAACTGAAGGAGACGGGGACCGAACATATCCATGACTGCCAGGTCTGCCAGGCTGCTCTGTACCTGCACAACACAGAGTGGAGGGGAACAAACAAAAAATATATACAGATCACTCTTACAACAATGCAGAACTATGTATTAATGCCATCTCCTCCACATCCTTCCCCAGTTGCCTCCACCACTCTAGATGTGACTGTATGTATTAAAGGTTTAAATGGCAGTATTCTGTTTACAATGCTCTAAATGACATGCAAGTTGTGCTAGCGGTAACTGGGATTCACACCATTGCTATGAGAGAAAGATCAAGCAGCCTGGTACTTGCTGAAGTTGCAATTATGACCAGAACTGACAGGTAATAGAAACCTGTTTAAAGTGCAGACTAAAACCAAACTGTCTAATATGTTGTTAATAAGCTGCATGTTGCCAACAGTGGCTACAGAAAATGAGCAGTTAGTCTACAAGACAACTGATCCAAATGTAGCAACGCGCACTCACCTGGTCGAAGATAAAGTTCAGCAAAAGATAAAGTGAAGCAGGGACTGAAGCTATTCTCTCCCTCTCTCGTTCTCGTTCTCTTTCCCGCTCTCGCTCACGTTCCCTCTCCCTTTCCCGTTCCTTCTCCCTCTCCCTTTCCCGCTCCCTTTCAGCACTTGCAGCTGCAGAAGCTGCCAGGTGTGTAGGGTGTCCTGGAAGGTCCACAAGGTAAAATGAAGTAGCAAAAAGAGATACTTGAGATAAACATAATGTGATGTAAACACTTGCCAATATATTCTGTCATCCACTTACAGAAGAATTTCCCAAATACATTTTCATTCCACTCAAGACTATCCACTTATCTAGGAAGACAAAAGCTTAACATACAGTGACAGTGGAAGGCTCAACAGCTTTTTACTAAAGTGGTTTCTATGCAGTCAGAAACTAGACAGCTTACAGACCCAAATTCCACCCTTCAACACATGTAATACGAGGTTAGTGAAATCATAATCAACGACTACAAAGACCTGACAGAATGAAGCAAATTCTGAATTTGTCAGCGCTCCTTCAGCTGCTAATGTAACTATAAAAGATATAATTAAGAAAACCTTTGCTATCCAAGTGAGAAGTGCATGCAAAAAGCATCACCTGAGAAAACATCAAAACATGACATTAATGAAAGCTAAACAAAGATGTCCATTTTCTCAGCATGTGAGATGATTAGAGGCATCACCAAATCATAAGAGCTCTTACCTGGTGACAGTGAAGCAGGATTGTAAGGCCTGGGAGGGAAGGTAAGCTGGGTACCGGGGATATATGTGATTCTCTCCATGGGTGGGGTGCTTGTTCCTCCAGGATGAGGCACTAAGATTGTGGGAGCCATATTGTTCAGGTCAATAATTCCTGTTAGATGACGACACACGTAAGAATGGCTGTTCAAGGATAGACCAATGATCCACACATTATATATTCTGTTAATTGATAATGGTCAGCAGTGAACGTTTAATGGAAAAAAGATAAGACTAAGGCAAGTGCAAAACTATATTCCAGCTGATTAGACTCTCTTAGATCTGGCAATCAGCAATTTTGGAACACGCCAAGTCAGAATTTTCATTTCTAGCACTCCCTTAACTGCCCTTTGGAAAAATACACTTCACCTCTACTCAATAATGCCATCTTTTAGCAAAATGGTATTACCCAACATTAGTCAGTCCCTTTTCATAAAATGAAACGAAATGTTGAAATGCACAGGTCCAACTGGAACACCAACATAACCTCTCCTGCTACAAAAACCACTTATCCTTTCTTTTCGAACCAGTTAAACCACTATAAGATCTTCTATCTTATCCCTGAGATAATTAGTCCTATCAGCCTAATTCCCTCACATTTGCTATCTTCCATTCTACCAATAACTACCAAAACTGATTTAATCGATAGACAGATTCTCATATCCAGTAACTGAGCTGGTAGACTGACTATTTCCTGTTAAGTTTGTAACTCCTGGGAGGATGCCATGTAACCCCAAGGATTCATAACTATTCATTTTACTATTTTGTTCCAAGACTTTGCTCAGCATTTCAACGTGAAAGAGTTCTTCAAACTCACGTCCCATAAAGAAAATCTCCATCACAGAAATACAGATCTCTCCACAGGGAACAGTTGCAAATAAGTTGCTTTGCTTTTTTGTAATGGCCTTATCTTCTAAAGCATTACTTCTGAGTTTTGATGATTTATCAGTTCCTACAGTTTCTCTGCCATGTTTCTCGCTTCTGGTGTATCTGAAGTTGTTAGTAGTTTATTTGGTTTTAAAAATCATTCCTCAATTTTTTTAGCTTTTATGGTCTTCTATTTAACTTCTCAAGATTGCCATTTTCTTTCTTCGAGGAGTTACACTTTTGCAAGATGTCTTTTTACTTTCAGTAGCTCCTTCCTGCTGCTGTTCAATGTCCAGACTGATATAGGCTTTTCCCCACCCTGTGACAGGTCACCCACATTTGCTAACTCTCTAACATAACATCTTTAAACAATCACCATGTTTTTCACAAACCTTACGCTTTTAGATGTTGGTTTTATTTTCATTTTGAGGAAGCTCTCATTTTGATATAATTCTCTTCTCTGAAGTTTGAAGATGAGTTAAATATGTTTCTGAATATCAATTTAAACTAGCATAAAACAGTCCAGCTTCTTGAACACCAGTAGGTCTTACAGCCTTCCCTTTAACAATATTGATTACATACTGTTTTCCTTTATATCCACAGTTAGGTGTATGACAACTCATTTGTGAATACATCTGTACATACGCGCTCGTACACATGCATCCACCCATCCATCCAAACACATCTATTTGTAAGCAGCAACAAAACAAACCAATCAACCAAACCACACCACATATCCAAAACGCACTTTAAACAACATCAGACAAAACACAGGCATACCTCTTGCTCCTGCATATGGGAGAGCTAACGTTTGCTCTCTAGGAGATAATCCCCTCGTTACATCAGGACGTAAATTGACTTGCATCTGCTGTGAGGTAATGTAGTCATTTAGGATTGTCTGTCGTGTATTCTCCATTGCATAAAGCTGATACTGACTTGGGTAGCCTGGGGTGGGTGAGAGCTGCCTTTGGAACAGGTAAGCAGCAGCAGCTGAGGGTGAAGGAGGGGAAAAAAAAGATTTAGAGTGATAGTTAATGAAAGTTGCAGATGTTTATATAGCTTCAATGAGAAGTGCTATCAATTCTCTCTAGACAGTAACTAATGAATTAAAATAACATTTTAATACTGATGTTTTATTGAATTTATGTACTGTATGCAGAGTATGCAGACAGAAAAAGCTAAATAATCCAGATTGGAGATACGTATTAGAGAAAAGACTTGATTAAAAATACAAATCCTGAAGTTCTGAAGATGTAAAGGGCTGAAATACCTAAAGACGGTTAAAATACCTCACAGAAGTGGACTGATGGATAGGTTAAAAGAAGTCTACCATATTTAATATCACCGAGGATAACCTCATAATCCCTCAGTAAGAATGAATCACAGTCCTGATTACACTTTAATATAGCATCCTCCACATCCTTCTTTGCATAGCTTTCCTGGAAGCTTTTTATATATTTCACAAATTCTTCTTTAAAAATACGGTCTGAACTTTCATAACAAAACAGAAGCAACCTAACAGCTTCTAAAAGAGAGTTACATTATTACACAATAATATTTTAATAAGTTTCTTGGTTAGATACTAAGCCTCCCACTAAACTGAAATCAGATCACAACAGTGTATATATATAACCTCTTCTAAATTTTATCTAGCCATTGATAATTGCTTTTTAAAGGTACTTTTTCTGTGCAAAGTATACAAAATTTCTAAAACCAAAAAACACAACACAAACATATTTACCAGGATCCAGAGCCCTGTGAAATGGCATAGCAGGATCTAAATGAGGAGGGAGGTGACTCCTGTAGACTTCAGGTGTTGCTCCCCTGTGATGAGGGTCAAAAGGACTGTGAGTCACTACAGGATCAACCCCCGGGACTGGAGATTTTGCTGGCACGCTCTCCCTCTGTGTCGGAGTAAGGGTGTTTTTCCTTTCATGATTTGCTGGCTTCCCAGACGATATTCCACCTAAAAACAATGAAAACCCTAAATTGATAAAATGCATATTTTTCAAGAGAAAATTCAGCTGTAAGTATACAGTGGCTCCCAAGCAACGTTCTAGAGGATCTGCAGCCTGATACAATAAATCACAGAGAATATTTTATATCACAAACTATTTCTGGTGAAAAATCTAAATCCCAAGACTGCTTGCACTTCACCATATTATCTTCCTCATCTAGATACTTCTATCATTCAGGAATAGCCTCTGCCCTCAAAACAGTACCCTTGCAGACAACACTTTCAGGGTGATCCACAATCAAATGCAATTTGGAACTGAATTGCCTTCCCACCTCCATGTTATAGTACAGGAGACTTATTTCTTATTTCAATTATCAGCTTACAGCCTTCTAAAATTCCTTCTCGCCACCCTCCAAAATGACAGAAGCCATCAGAATAAAAAAAGTAGGATATCTAGAGAAGCCAGTTTAAAAGTAAGTTTAGAATTAAATTATTAAAACTTCTTGTCTTACTCTGAATAGGAATAACATACCCTCACTAACTCTATTCATCATAGGTGAACTCCTGGACATTGGACTCTGATAGTTCACAGGTGTCCTCCGAGCATTGGTATCATCATAAATCCCAGGGCTCAGCTGTGATTTGGGAGTTTCATGAAGAGTTGACCTGAGAACAGAGGGACCAGAGCTGACTACTGATGTGTGACGGGAACGTACTGCATCCCCGGTCTTCACATCTTCATATTTTCCTCGCTCCACCACCTTCACGTTTTCTGGCACCATTTCCAGCTGAGGCATTCCACGGGGTAGCTTGCTTGGTCCAGTGATTAAAGATTTTACATTGTGTTTGATGGCAGACTGGCCAGAGTTGCTTTCATATTTTATGGGTGTGCCCTGAAAAGGAGAAAAATATCAGGTAAGATTATCCTGCCCATGTTTCACTGATGCTAAAAAACTCAAATTGATGATACCGTAGTTCATTGCTTCTATCACATCAGCACAGAATACAACTGGATCTTAGTGACTGTTACTTGTCAGTTCTCTCACGTTTTCTTGCGTGTTCCCTACAGGTGAAGTGTCAGGATTTTTCTAATACAGAGAAAATATTTTTAAGCTTTGTAAGTTGGTAGCTTTCTTACAGCAAAATGACACCCCCCCACTTGTCATTATTCAAATATCCTGAACTGATTTCACTACTGAGTCTGTAAGCAAGTGTGTGAGTCCAGTACTGCTGTTTACATTTACCTGAGATATGGAGCCTTCTATGATTGGCCTGGTCGTCTGCACCATTTCAGGAGTCTTGCGACTCTCCTGGCTTAACAGGTCCTGTCTTGGGATTTCATGGATAGAACGACCCATTTCTTTTATAGTAGTGACTCCATCATATGGTTTCCCCTTAGTAATGGCTCCTTCAAATGTCCTTATGGGAGGTGACTCTCTCTTTATCTGTTTAGGGTATTTCAACCCTTCTTCAAAACTTTCAGCTGTTGCTCTTGGTGTGCCTTTTATAGGAAGAAAGAGTCACATTACCGGTATTTATAAGTCTCTTTTTTCATAAATAGAGTAACTAACTCCATGTCATAATATTGGAGCTTCGTTTTTCTATAGTCTATGATAATATATTCTGAAGACTAAAAATTCACCACAAATAATACCAAAGAAGTACTCAATACATTACTGAAAGCATCACAAGTTATTTCAGATGCTGAAATAAAGGAAGTAGCATACATCTTCAGAGGTCTGGGGAATTGCTAGTGTTCATTACAAAAAAGTGCTAATTACCAAGTATTCACATTTAAAACAGTCTGCTTTCCAAAAAGAAATAAAATGCTATGTTCACACACTAGCTTTGTACACAGCATATCAGAAAGCTGCTGATTTATGCTCTGAAAACTTCATAAAATAAGCTCCACCTTTAACACAGCTACCATTGTTAAGAACAGTTTTACGGTTCAGAAATCCAGATTTCTGAGGATGTAATTAATGCTTGCCTTCTAAACTTGCAATATTTTACCTTGCATTATAGAGCCAGACAATACTGTTCTTTCTTTTAGTTCAGCATGTGGGCTACCTCTAGGCAGTGCACGGCATATTAAACCTAAAATTAAAATGAACATAATTTAGAGAATTAAACAAGTGTTCAAAAAAAACCCAAAACCAAACAACAAAAATCCTCCTCCTTTTACATACATGACAGATATCATCTCTAACACAGTAATGCCCAGAGGGCTTGCCCTCCGTATGCTAAGCACTGCATCAACACGTTATAAACACCATCCTGCCCTAAAAAAAAAACCCAACAAACCAAAACCAAGTATCTTTGAAGTCAAGTACTCATGCTATTACATTGTTGCAGGTTTTAACATATTTAGAAAACAAAGTATTTTTCATAATTAAATTTAATTCTTGTCCCCAAACCAGTCACTGCTTCTGTTACACTCCAGTTTCCTTACCCAGTAAATAAAAGTGTTCATGATGGGAAGTGGAGCAAAAAGAAAAAAATACCCCCAAAATATATCTCAGCATCCTCTAAATTAATCAAAGTTCATATTGAATCATCTGGGAAGAGTCGAAATTACTGTTCCTACAACAGGAATCTAAATCAACCCCACAAAAACCTCACAATTTTCCACAGTTTGAGGACAGAAAACACGTCAGTGATGAGATACAGCTTAAAAGTATCAGAGCAGCATCTCATATGCCAGAAGATGCGCCAAATGCAGCAACGTAAAGGCAACACTGAACTTCTACACACAGCCTAGAAACCTCTTATTCACGTTGTTCCATCTGATGAAAATGTACACAAAACAGTCTTGAAGGGCTACCCAAAGATGGGACGAAATGCACTGAAAGAGTAAGACTCCAGAGTTTAGGCATGAAATATTTTCATTTGTATTTTATAAATATTGCGTTTGTATTTTTAAAAAACAATCAGAAAACTTATATAATGGCCTGACTTGACCTTTGCAGTCTTAGTTTGATTACAGTTTATTAAATAAATAAAAAAACTAGACATGCCCTGACGCAGGATACAGCAACTGCGCCAGTCCTCTGCTTGGCATAACTGAAGTGGTTTATTGCAGGAATACAAAAGGTCATGCCAATGAGGCACCGAGTTACGACGCCATGCGGCCAAGACCAGTATTTAACTGAATGGGCGTGTCCATGGAGCCCACCCTGCCATGACTCAGTGTGGTTTGAGCTCTGCGACAACCCCCTGGGACTGTGAAGGGTCAGTTACAGATGTCAGATCTACTGAGAGGAGCAAGTGCTGGCTGAACTACTGCCAATTATGGTAACACAGCAGCAAAACAAAAACTAGTATCTACTCCAGTTATACTCCCATAATTGTAGTGGCTGTTGCATGGATTTGGTTAATAGTGTAATATTTAAATCTAATTTCGCTTTTAGTCTGCTCCATAAAATAACTCTAAATACACTTACATCAGTGCGTACAGTTTAGATAAAACACAAAACACCTTGGAAGCAGCTGTTTTTACCTTCCAGTGGTGCCGACACTGGAGACTCCCGCATTGACATTCCTTGCTTTATATTTCCTTCCATTGTATCATAGCTTCTCTTTAAACCAATTTCATGAGCAGTTCTTGGACTCCTTGTTCCTTCACGAACATTTTTAATAGCTGGCAAAATTTACAATACCGTGGTTAGTAAACGCAGACAGTAAAAAGACACATGAGCATTACATTTCATGAGACCACAGGTCATTAATACTTTAACAACACAACTTCAATATAGTATTTAACATTAATTCTCAACCTTAGAAAGATCTTTTATGGTTTATTAAAAAATTTACTTGTTCAAACAGTTACTCATTTATTAGCATTTCAAGGGAAGTTCAAAGTCAAATGATACATTTCTTTTGATTTTAATACAGATAATTTTAAACTTGATTGTTTAACCTTTCAAAACAATAATCACAGAATGTTCGGGGTTGGAAGGGACCTCTGTGGGTCATCTAGTCCAACTCCCTGCCGAAGCAATATTCCATGACAAATTGGAAATAAATGGCACAGAAATTAAATAATTTATCTATATTTTAAAATAGATAGTACAGGAGACTCTTCAGAACACAGGCACAATTTCTGCATCACTTTAATACTCATACCCTCAAAACCATAGGCAGGTCAATACTTCTCCCAGATGGCACCCCAGTGAATGAGGTTTACACCTGCCCACTCTAAAGCAGATACACTTCAGCTATGGATTATAAAGCAGAACCTGCTGCAGCCTTGACCTTGATCAAGTAGATTATACAAATACTCACTATCATAAGATAAAATATGTCCACTTTTGCCTTCATAAATAACATGGCCTTTGGCTGAAGCTTCCTCTCGGCACTTTTCTGGGCTGCTGTCTTCTGTAGCTAGCCGGGTGATAGTTCCCTTCAATAACGCATCAGCTGCTATGCCAGACTGGGACAGAGCTGGTGTACCCTGCATTTAAATCAATCATAAATAATTCAGAACATGTGTATTTAAGAGAACAGGAAGCAGTGAAGGGGACATTTTTGAGATCTAGAAAACAAATTACTTTATCAAGCAGTGTAGCTTAAACTTCTGCCTCTATTATCAGACATTTAACCTCAATATTAGTAAGATTACTTGTAGGCAACTCACTACCTTGTCAAAAATTATAGAAATAAGAATAGGGAGTAAAATATTACAAAACTATTTCAGGACCTAGAACATTTACCCTATAATACCACTTTGGGGGAAGACAGCATATACTATATACTTCCAGGGCCATTAGGTTTTATTTCTATCCAAAGTAACGAAACCTACCCTCCCCAGAAAAGAATTGTTCTGATTGCTCTCTGTAACTAGAGATCCCAACTCAACCAAAACAGCAGCATTTAAAAAATGATGAGACAAAAGGGCTTAATTTACCTTTATGGTTTTAAATAGCATCTGCGCAAGACCAATTACAGTTGATTTTAGTATTTCAACTTGAGTGTGGTGCTATTTTCAAGGAAGTTGCTAATAAGCTTTCAGTTAGGTATACCAAAGGCTCTGGTGGTTTTATTTAAAAATTTTGAAGACTCATATACACAAAGATGAAATTATGGTAATGCTGACCAGCAATAGTGGGATTTCACCACCTTGATTGTATTAAAATTTCTTTTTTTGAGGCAGTTCCTACTCTGTGATATTAATTTACTTTTCCAGACATGCAAATACATTCACTGTGATAGTTTAAACATGCTGTTTTGCTACAGCCTTCTCAGTAAGCAGAAAAATACCTGAGTTATGGAGCCTCTCAAAGAAGGAATGGTCTCAACAGAAACTTTATTGGTTGGAGTTCCTCGTGTTATACTTCCCTCCTGTATTGTTGTGGTACCTGATTTGAAATAATAAGACATCCTGATAAATAAGAGAATAAAAAATGTAGCTACTCTATTTGAAATAATTAAAAACTCTAGTGAGAACTGTTAGTTTACACTCAGATACAGTGAAAATTTCAGTTTAACAGCATGCATTTGAGGCAGTTAAAACTATTTCCTCTTTGAACATAGTCTTTTAAAGAATAAAAGACTTCTACAGCATATGAAACCACTAATCCATAGTATTTAGTTTCTTTTCTTTCGATGTATTTGAACATTTTACATGTATTGCTCTGCAGAGTAGAGCATACTCTAGTGAATAACTTAATTTTGAAATTGGCATGCCTTGAAACAAATGTTTTTAAACGAGACACGCAGACAGGAGGAGCTAGCTACAAATTCTCTCCGTTTCCTCAGGCTCTGACGAAGTTTCTTAATCCGTATGACTTTCTTTACCTCGAACCACGCTTTCATGTTGTGCCCTGACCAGGAGTCCCTCAGGCTGGGAATTCTGACTTCTCGGAGAAAATTCTTCTTGTTTGATATAGGGCAGGGAAGCTATTCAAAAGAAGAAAAAGGTTGGGGTTTTTTTTGTTTAATTATGAGTTATTAAATAGTCTATATAAAACATATGTCAGCTTTTCTTTTCTTACCAGATTTGGCTGACTCCTGCTGCCTTGGCAGCCCAAGAGATATAGAACCCACTGATGGCTTTGCAGTCTCTTGGGTGTAGGAAGCTTGACTATGGGATGTTAAGTAAGTGCCAGGTGTTCCCTGAAGTAATGAATATATTATATGTTAATTCTCGTTTCTGGAATGAAGATTCACATCTATGTTTAAAAGAGAATACTAACACGACTATGCTCCTATCTTAAAACACTACAGTACACCACTGCAAAGTATCAAAGTGCAGAACACCCGGAGTGTCCTGTCGCTATTAGTTTGGAGATGCAGTTCACTTAAACTGGACATCCTCAGCCATGCTACTAAATGTAAATAACTGCAACATGTTCCATTTTATAAGGCACCTGCAATTCCTGGATTTTTAGTGGTGGCATGTATAGATCTTAAGTCTTAATGCTGTGCTCACATAACCGAGCACAAGATGTTGAAGATTGGTGAAAGGGAAAAAAATTGACGCAAGCACAGGTTTTCAAATAATAATTCTCTTACTTGTGAGATTGAGCCTCCCATGATGAAGGAAGGCTTTTCTGACGGCACACTTGTCTTGGAGGATGGAATGAGAGGTGGTGGTGGTCTGGTGGGTCTGGTTGTTGGAAGGCGGACTCCTTCCGGTATATTTGCTATTACTTGGTGAGGTGCTGGCTGGAGAACTTGGGGGAAAATTGTACATGAAACATTACGGTCTTTTTCAGCTCTGCTTGTTGTTAGAGAGACAAGAAAATCAGGAATAGCGCAGTTCATCTGAATCGCTGATGAGAATTCCCTCACAATATCCAAAAGCTATATAGCTATATTTACAACTCTGAAATTCACTATGTCCACATGTATGTTATGCATAGAAACTGACAGGAGAATATTTAACCTTAGATCAACAAGAAACGGCAAAAGCTGCACTGTAGAACTGCAGACTCTGAAAACTAAGCTTTAAAAATAATAGCCCAGGGTACATTCAAGTTTTCTGTGTTTTCCTGTTTTTAAAGAAATTCCTTATTCTTTAAAAGGAATGCAGCTGAGTCGAGTATAATCTAAGCTTCCCTGATTTTGTCTTTTCTTAGCATGACATCATACTCTGAAGAGAAACGCAATAATCCAAGTTTCAGAATTAAGATTTGTCAGGTATTTCACCATTTCATAAACCATTCTGACTATAACATTAAGCAATTAGTCAGAAACTAATGTCAAGGATAGAAGCAGCTTTCTCTTTTCCCCAACTCCCCCCTTCACAAGAAAGGCCACCCATAAACATGACAGTACTTGTGTTAAGCTGAAAAACTCTTGATGGCTTTGTCCCTATGCTGATCTAACACTTTTCAGATCATCCTGTTTGCTTCATAAAATACACCTTACACAGCTGATGCAGCAATAAAGAACAAAAAAACAGCCTCACTGGAGCTAGGAAAATACCGAGCATCTATTCACATGCACACAAAGCAAACAACCTATTATCTGCTTTTGTTAATTCAGAAAGTGTTTAGAGAGGAATTTGATACTACATTAAGTCACAAAAGTGCAGCTTCCAAAGGAAGAATACATATCGCTATCATACATAACAAAATATTTACCTGGTGGGACACTATAGCGAGCTGCATTCATATCAGGCTGGGGAGAGGCTTTATTGACTTCTCTTGGAGATAGCCTGTATGGTGACGCCGACCTTGCTGCTGTGTTTTGCACTTGTGCTTCCTGTTCTATCGCTCTCTTGACCTCACCATAAGGCATATAGGCCACCGGTTTTCCTGTGAAGGTTAAAGTTGTCAGAGAGAAAAGAACCCTGAAAAAACTTGAAGTATAAAAGCGATAGTTAATTATCAGTACACTAAACATTCATTCTTAAATGAGGCAGCAGTGTAAGAGGCATACAAAAAACGCAGGGTTATTTCCAGGACAGATGTGAAAATGCCTACCTTCCCACTCAATATTAGGGCTCTTGGAAGTGCCACAAGGGCTTACAGCACTTCGATACTCCATATCCAGCTGCTCTTGCCTCTGGCGCTGCTCCTCCAGCAGCGCTGACTCGTGCATTGCTTTAATGTGCCGTTGATACAGCGCATAACCACTCACTGGTGTTCCAACAGGAACAGCACAGGGACTGCAAGAAACCTACAAGAAGAGTAAGGTATTAATATCAGGTACGTTAATACAGGTACTTACTAAAGTAAACACCTTGCTCAAAGCCTCCACTGCAGTGGCTGTAGTCCATGTACAAGTGTTTCAAATAGTCCACACCTGTTTTTAAGCTATTACTTGTGTAATTTTTTGTACTTAACTTACTTTTCCCCTCAAAAGTATGATAACAAAGCAAATTGTGTATTTTTTCATTTGTTTCAAATTTTTTTTCCGCTTTTGTCTTACAACTAGTTTTAAGGACAACAGATACTCATCCAAATGTCACTTAAAACACCCCATACCATAGGTGGTATGACAGCAGCTCGGTGGTGAAGTTGTTGCAGGTCCATCTGCCCTTGCTTTATTGTGGATGATACCAGTATTGACCCAGTGGGATTTAACAGTGAGGGCTTTGACTCCCTGCTGAAGATACTGGAAAAGGAGATAGAAGGAAGGGAAAAATATCACCAAAAAGGCCAAGATTAAACATTTAAATAAATTTACAGGCGAAAGTATGCCTCTCAACTTCAAAAAAAGAGTTTAACACACTGGACAAGTAGATGAAAAACCAGCATCATGTCATGTTTTGTCTCAGAGCACATCTGGTAGAACAGGCAACAAATGCTGCTGTACTTTCATAATATAGAGAAATTCCAAAAGAATTGTTCAGAATCTCCAATACCAGAAATTTACATATATTGTTTCTATATGCACGGTACTGCAAGAACGCAACCTTCTTTACAGAGAATGCTTTCAAAAAAACAGATAGGAAACATTAGATGTATTTAGTCCACGAGGGAAAAAATAAACAGCAGTATAAACAGACTACTGTCACATGGAGGGCTAATGCATTTGTGAAGTGGAAAGACGATGTCTGACGAGGCAAGAAAGTGCAGAAACGCTGTCAACTGCACTCTTCCAAAGAGCACATAGGGAACCAAGGATACTGGATACTTTTGACATTTACCATCTATGCTTGGCACTGCACACATACTAAGACCACTGGGAGGGAGCTGGCATTGGCTCCGATGCTACGCTATAGTTACTAACGAATCGCACCAGCAGAATGCTTAAAAAAGACTTCAAATATCATCAGTGGTGTCAGCCATTCCTCAAAGGATAAAATGGTTCCAAACACATGCAGTGTTGTCCATTTAAAGCCCTATATACTCATGTGGGTTATCCACAGCGTTCAGGGCCAAGTTCCCAGGAACTAGGAAGTTTGCATGAAGACATTGTACATGTCTTCCATTTTCCATGTACAGGTCATCCATTTCTCAGGGCACTTGCCTGTTAATTTACGGACACTGACTAATAAGAGTGAGAAATACTTCCACTACTCTATTATTAATAGCCTTCAAGAGATTCAGTTCTACTGAGTGATGTAACATGGCTCAATGACAGTAGCTGACTACAGGACTCAAGAGATTATACAAGCAAATAAATGTGAAATGCTAAAAGGTAATGAAAAAAATCAGTATTTTATGCCCCTAGATTATTTTTCTTTAAAGTCAGTTTCATCTCCTTCTAAAAGATCTGTTCAGGCTGTTTTCCCTGTCAAATTCAAGGAGTTTTGGATGCGTTCTACTAAACTGAGTTTGTGATAGCAAGAATCGATTAAAACAACTCCATCCCCAAATTTTTGGATCTACATTCAAACAGTTTTTCACTAAAAGGAATAGAGAGCCCATGTACTTTTGCACACTAACCAATCACACTATAAAAAATATTCCAAATCTACTTCTGAATGTGTAGGTTTGTTAGTAAGTATTGTGTAACAGCAACAAACTAACAAAACCAAACCAAAACAAAGAAGTTTAGTACAGATCCAGTTACACAATCAATGTTGAGTTTCTTAGTGGATAGATCGGGGCATTTACAGAATTCCCCACATTATTTACTTCATTTTTTTAGTTGGTCACCAATTTTTAAATATCTGTGTATCAGAAAATCCTGCAGCAGCAAGATCTTCCCCTCCCCACCAGAAGTACCACACAGCCATTTATCATGGAAACTCATGCCAGGAGCATCTTGAATTTCTTTTCTTGCTTTGGCACATTTTCATTGTTTCAGTAAGCTGCTGTCAGATAAGTGTTTAACACAATTCCCATTCTCTGAACGGATCCCAAATGGCTTGATTTCTCTCATTCTCTAGCTTTCCAGGTAGTTGTGCTAGTTTCCTACCTACCTAGTCAGTCCATCACTATGGAATTTTCCCTTACTCTGCCTTAGAAGACCCTTCTTTTGGCTTTTCATCAAAATTTTAAATCAACACTTCCCCCTGTTGCATTTTCAGCAAAGACTCTTTAGAAGTTCTTTCCCTGGTAGAAACTCATAACAAAAATGTCACTACTGATTACACTTTTTGGATCACTGTTTAAAAAGTGGTTTTGCTGAACAACTTCTTAAAGATGGTAATATTTGAATAATAAACAATTAAACTCACCCTTGTCTGTCAGGTTCTCCATCAACTTCCTCATCAGCACTACAGGTGGCACTTGAATCATTATCTGAATGGGATTCTTGTCTTGCTGTATTAACTTGTTGTGACAGACTATAGTCCATTTCCTCTGGTTCTGACTTTTCCTTGGGTTTCTCCACATCTCTGTCTTTGGTATCACTCTCTATTTTCACTTGGATATTCTCTGGTAGCCTCATTTCAGTCTCTACAGGTTCTACTTTGGTGTGCACTGGAAGAGTAATCACAGGCTTAGCTTCAACTGGATGGCTTCTACTGTCAACCTCCATAGGCTCTTCTGCTTCATTATTTATTTCTTCTTTAACCTGTGGCTCAGGGTTCTGACTCTCAGCTGTTGATACACTTTGGGCTGTTAAGGAGGGAGACGTGCTGGTTGCAGGTTTAATGGTAGATTCTTGTTCTGCTGTTGCCTCAGTGGTTACTTTCGAAGCAGCACTCTCAGATGGATTTTCTTCACTTGGTTTAGCAGGTTCTGCTGGAGTTGGAGATGGAGCACTTTCTGTATCAGAACTATTTTCAGCACCTGGGGGGAAAAAAAAAACCCACAAGGTTTTGGCATAAAGGTTCAACACTAATGAAATCTAACTATGCTTCAATGAACTACTTCCTTAGAACAATCAAATATATGTCTGCTGTCCCAAAACACAAGACAACTGCCCTGAAGCATTGACTCTCACAGGGAGTGTAATCAAAAATCAGCAGATACAGGTTAAGGAGGGAGACTGGAATTACAGAAATAAGACTACTTCGCTAGCTGTGATCTTAGAGAGCCACCCATGTAAACTCTTGTGCATATATGTCAGAGACTTGGTACTTCCATATATAATGCAGCTTTATTACAAGATTAGAGTTAACATTCACAGCGCCTAAGGCACAGTTTTAATGATTTAAATTCACACATTTTAGAGGCATCACTGGCAGGAGTGGCAAAACATTGATTTTACATGAAAATCAGTTACATTTTATAGACATGCTGACTTGCAATTCTTGCTGTAAGTTAACAGTTTTAGTTTACTTCCTTTGTGAATCACCACGATTTTCCTGAAAACATCATCTTTACTCTGTGAAAGGTGTAAACAGCATCAACAACTGGATACCAATTAAAGAATAATATTGACTTTTGCAGTAAAGAACCTTCCTTCTCTTTTTATCCTAGTTCATGACCTCCATCATATTATAAATAGCTTTTAGATAAATAAAAACATTTATGAAAAACTATGGTAACATCTAGAACACAGATGTTATACTCCACTCTTCTTGTGATAGGAATCTTCATTCCTTAGAACTACATCAATATTTAAAAATGTTTGTTAAACTAATAGATGCAAGAAGGATCCACCAATTTTAACCTACCCATCTGCAAAACAAGTGATTAATTTTGACTGATTATTGAAAAGGACAATTTGATGAATTACATACACGGACTGCAGCTTAAAAACAAAACAAAACAAAAAAAAAACAAACTTCCACATCCCAAGCACTTGTCCATATTCTCTGATTCATCGTTTATGAATTCTGAGCATATAATTGGCACAAAACATAGGTCCCTTTCTGTGCACATGCAAGTTTCCTTCCCAGAAAAGTTACCTTCACTGTCTTCTGGATTCTCTTCTTCATTAGATGCTTCAATATCTTCATCCTCCTGAGCTGACACAGTCGAAGCTACACTCTCACACTGTGATACATCTCTCTCCTCACGGGGCCTTCGTGAAGACTGAGAAAGACACGGCATTTACATTGTACTGAAAATCTGCAAGTACTATTTCCTATTACATGCATTCTCATTTATGAATCTAAGGTTGAAATGAAAGACAGAGAATCTCTGTTTAGCACAGATTCATTCACAACAACACCCTCTCAATTTCAGGCCAGCTTTCGCTGCTCCTGATCAAAAACAAGTTTGGGAACAAATCACTGTCTCAAGATATGTTTGGCGGACAACAGAACTACTGCAGCGAAGACCAACACCGATGCTCTTCAGTGAGAGAAGACTAGGATAGCACTGCAGTTTAGGGGATTCCAGCACTCAGGATTCTACTTTAGATGCCCCAAAACTTTCAGTTCCTGGTCTTCTACCGATTCTCTTGCTCTGTTTTGTAAGGCTAGTGCTTATTGTGTTTCAAGGTAACTGTTCTATAGCAATGGCCTGAACTTCCATAGTTGCTGGTGTACTGATGAGGAACATGGCTTTCAGAGCACTACAGAATTCTTCACGCTTGAGCGTTCTATCTGACAGAAAATTTTCTTTTGCATTTTAAAGCAAGAAGTGATTAGTGTCGCAGGTCAGTGAGCATCAGCCACCTTTTCTAGGAGATTTATGTCACAACACAAAAACAAGTAGAAAAGGAAACAAGTGGAGACTGCAAAACAGTCTTAGTGAAGCATGATGAATGACTTCAGAAAGATGTCAAGTTTTCCCCTGTAAAATATTCAGTGCCCACTGCACTCACCTTCTGTTTGTGCTGTTGGAGGAGGCTGTCCAGATTGTGTCTCCTTTTATAGTTGAAGTAGAAGTTCTTACACTGAGCTTCACTTTTCGTCCCAACCATTTTGGCAATTGCTGCCCAGTTGCGTCCATGTTCCACTAGGCCTATTCAAACAAATAAGAACCAATACTTACTAGTATCAATAATTCAGCTACCCAAATCCAAATAAATGGAACAGCAATGCCTATGGGAAGCTAAGATACAGAGGTATGGCTGTCCTTAAGAGAATTCTCACTATGGCAATGTGTTTGATAACTACTTATGGGGCGAAAAAAGCTCTATCAACCCAAATGTCTGCTTATGAAGCCTTCACACTTGACTCATTGCTGTGGCTAATATGTAACACCCCTGCTAAAATACTGATTTTATGCATAAAATTCACAGGTAACAGTATGTGCCAAATGACTAGACAAGTTAAAAACTACATTAGCTTTTCTATGAAAAGAATGTCATACAAAAGGATTTTTTTCTAACTTATAAACACATTACTTCGAAAATTTACGTATCACACACATACCTTCACATCTGTTTCACAGACTTCTGTGGACCAAGTACAACATCAAACAGTTCTAAGTAGCCCATATGAAAAAAACTCAACATGAGTCTCAAAAAAATGATTTTTATAAAAAAAGAAACACAACAGCAAATGTCAAATTATTCATTCAGCTTAGTGTTGCAAAAAAATCACAGCACTTCCATTCAGTAAATTATTGTAATTTTCTAAATAGAAGTATTCAGAAGGAAGACAAAAGCTTTACAAGGCTTACCTTTCTTAGCAACTTCCATTTCTTCTTCTGTCCAGCGGGATGTCTCCACAGGCTCTGCAGAAGCTGAAAGAGAAACAAAGACACTGATCAAAGAAAAGACCAGGATTCACTACTATGGCACCAATCATGCATCCCATAGTCAACTCATCTATTTATGTTACGGCTTGTTCAAGTCACTTGGGAAAACTGCTCTTGTCAGTGGAAAGTAGTCTGTCTCCATTAAACCAAGTTAGAGATATAGTACAAACCACCACAATCTCATCAGAGCAAACAGTTCAAAACTATTCTGCCAACAAAACTATAATTATCTGTCAAGGAAGACTTGCAAGTAACTTAGACCTATTTATCACTTCAATTTTATTTAAACTGCCAATAATTACCATCAACTACTAAAAGCAGCAATCCAACTTGCTATAAACTAGTTCCACCTTATTTCACTGCTGAAAAAGACTGTGAAAGGACTGAAACGGTTATTTATTGCTTAGTGGGTATCAAGAAATTTACTACTCTTGTATTCACTGAGTGTCCTACTGGACAAATAGAAAAAAAATAAAAGAAACCAAAACGAAGAGTGAGCAAAAACAAGCAGGAAACTAAGTATGATTCAATACAAAATACTCCTCATTCACTTCTCTGGATTTGATATAACTCTGTTTAAATTTCTGAATGACATTAAGCTGCAACAGCCTCCATTTCCTTTTCATAAAATCTGCCATTATGCACAGCATGCAACACGGCCTCTTCAACAACTTCAGCAAACAATTTAACAAACAATTGAAGTAGGGCACTATAAAGTATCTGATCCATTGAAAAGCTATTTTGGATTTTCGAGAAAACCCTACAAAAACGGGTTAAAAAAAAAAAAACCCAAAAGCAAAAACCACTGTTGTCTTAGTCTATCTGCTGACAAAAACCCACCATATCAACTGAGCAAGAATGTCTATCACAATCTCTGACCTTTACAGTTAAACAAGAGCTAATTTGTGCACTTAGTCTGCTCTTTAGGATATACAGAATATCTGAACAACAAAAGAGTTATTACAAATTCTAGAATAGCAGCTGCCTGTAACTACCCAGTTGAACAGCAAACTTTGCCACAGCAGAGCACTGCAAGCAAAAAAACCTGCCCCACCACCCTGGATAATTATTTACTATTCTGTTTGCTAGTATTTCTGCACCACCACAAATTATGTCAGTCTTTTCAGAAACGCAGCCAGAGACAGCGCAGTCTTTTCTAAATGTATGTGCCAGGAAAGTAGCATTTTATTTTAAAGAAGTCTCTTGCCATCTAATGCAGAAACAACAACAACAAAACCAACTCGCTAGGATCTATTTCAGATTATGAAACTCCCTGAAGTACTCAAATATGAGGCCTACTTATTTAACAATAACCTCTGTGAGCTACAGCCTGTAAGTCAATCTGTATCAAAGACATTTGGATCTCTGCAGATCCATCGTTAAAGAGTAGTTCTCCCAGAAAGGCTGACCTGCCCTTTTTTAACCCCTCACATGGTTCTAACAGAGTCAGCTGATTACACACATACTATTCATGAAGTTACACTCCTGAAGTTTAACAGTACCACACAGTCACAAAATTATAAGCAGGCCTAAGAATAAAGATGTAATACTAAATAGAGGGAAAAGAAATAGTGCACTGCATGCACAGAGAACAGCCTCGTGTGAGTGAAGAGCTCGATAGTCCCCAGGTGTCCTACAAACGCTACTCACAAGGTTCTGGGGGGGGTGGAAGAGGCGGTGGTGGTTCCTCAGTGGCTGCAGCTGCAGCAGCATTCGCTTGTGCGGCTTCATTTGTCATTGATCTGGTGATTCTGCCCTTACGACGACCTTGACTATTGGCAGTTTTTCGGCCCCTAGGAGCGGCCTGCTCCCTTTCCTCCGTTTCCTCTGGTGCAACTTCAGTTTTGTCCTTTTCTTTGGTATTCTCTCTGGGAGTAGTTAAAATACAATTCAGTCACATTCAGAAAGCCATTACGGGCAGTTATTCCCAAATATCAATTAAAAAAAAAAAAAAACCAAAAAACAAAAAACAAAAAAAACCCACCACCACCAAACAAACCACAAAACTCCACAGACCCAAATGACGCCTTTAGTGGAAGAAAATTCACTTACTGCCCACAGTTTAGAGTTGCTAGAGAATAACATAGACACACGATATTATCAACTTTAAAGAAAATACAAACACTGTGACAGAACATATGCAAAACCACTCCAAACCAACAAGATATTAAAATTATTAGATATGCAAAAAAATAATCCCATGGCTTTTCCTACCAGACTGATTAGTTTAGCAAGACAGAGAAATCGGTATGTCCAAGAAAACTGTTTAATGCACAAAACCTAACCTAAATAGGAACAGTTTTCAGTCCAGATTTCACTGTCAGACTAATGCAAATCCTATTCTGATCTTTGCAAAAAAGAGCAGCAAATTAATGCATTTTCAGTACGTATACTTACTTAGATTCCTCCTTCTCATCCTTTTCCTCCTCATCTTTCTTTTCCTCCTCTTTTTTCTCTGCTTTTTCTGATTTTTCTTCTTCTACCTTTTCTTCTACCTTTTCTTCTTGAGAAGGACGAGCAATTTGTTGCTGAAATGAAACGGGATTTACATATTATAACAACTTGATCACACAAAGGTGCAGCAACTTGTACTCAGAGCATCAGAAACACCAATGCTGCCTTTTCTCCCAACAAATATTTTAAGTCACAGTCACTGCACACTGGTCAATGTAACAGTAAAACACCTCTGCCAAAAACTGTAACACCCATCTGCACCCTGAAACCATAACGAACATGATGTTCCAGGTATTATCTCTCAGATTTCAGACGTCCCCTTTGCACAGAATGCGCAGTTTCTACGTATCAGCTGTGTATCCTCAGTACCTCTCAATTTATTTTCTCTTACATTTCTTCAGGTCAGCCACCCCATTCATTATGTTATTTTGTCTTATAAACTCCATGGAGGTACAGGCTTTTGCAAACTGAGCACGGAGATGATAATGTACATGTGTCAACACATACATGTGCAGTTGTGTGCCACACTAAAAATGAACAACTACGTTTTAAAAGTGCTTAGAGAGGTCTGACCGACATCTTGCATAGTAATGGTGTTGCTCCTCTCAAATTTTATTTTTAACGTTGTCCATTTTAAATTAGTGAAACCTGATAGCTCACAACTTGGTAGGCGAAGATCTTGTAGCATGAACATGACCAACTCTAAGCCACCGTCTCAAAACTATCATTAGTAACTAGGAAATTGCTCAAAAAATTCAGTCAGGAGTTTTAGACTTACATTTCTAGTGAATTTACAGAAAGGAAACTATAGCCTAGAATTTTTTTTTAAACTATTGTCTTTATGGAGATGATACTTTTACAACCACTCAAGCACTGACAAATGACAAAGTAATTACTGCTACCCATTATTATCCTAAGGAAAACAGCAAAAATACTATTTACGCATTCCCTGCTAAGGGACTCTTGCTCCTTATCTTTCAAAGCAATCCAGATGAGTACTATGTGCAAGGGTATATCTCATTTTAGAAAGCACACAAATTTGATTTAAACTCTCCAGAAGATACAATCTGCTTCATACAGGAATTAAGGGAAGAAAATTCTGTTACTTAATGTGATCACACAGCAGTACCAGCATGGTCCCTTACCACTGCTGAAGGGAAAAAAAAAAAGAAAGAAAAAAACTATTGGCTGCTGCCTTCTTCTTAAAAAGGGGTGGAGGGGAAGTATTATTAGGAAAGGTCTATCAAATGTGGCTACAGAACAGATTTCCTTAAGTTTAGTGTTATTATCCTCCCTAAATATATTTAGAAGTCTAAATATTGCTTTTCGCCATCCACAGTGCTGTATCTGCACATGGCCAAAACACCTCGCTTTCCAACACTGCCAAATTTCTCTGTCCACAGCTCGCCTGCAAATTACTTCCTTTCCAGGTTAAAATACCAAGCAGTAGTTGGCTGCCACTAAATAACTCACGTAACCCGCTCCCCAAATTCCTAGAACCCTTACATGAAGCAAACAGCAAACGAATGAATTCTCCTGATGGGCCTCAAAAGCCGCAACCCACATCAAGCAACTAGAGCTGAACCCACACTGCCTGTTC